CGCATGAATTCTAAAAGTTTCTATCCATACAACATTGATGATGACATTGACATGACTGCACGGCTGGTGCGGTGGCTGGGCAACCGGTTGCCGTGCAGTGTGCCGCGGGTTCGATTCCGGCACGGAACAACACTTTGTGTGATCCACAAATTGTTGTTCCGGGTTTGGGTGTCATGTGTATGTGAACTTGTATGTTGGTAAACGCACCCACGACACAGGAGACAATCCTAGTGTGGGACAAAGTAAAAAAAAACATATAGAGCACGTTACGGGAATTATCGACTAGCTCAAAGTCGATGTTGCGTAGATCGTCTTCAAGTTTATTTAATTGCAGTTTATAAACTATTTATTAAGAGTATTTTGTTTAGGTAGGCTACAATTTAGAGTTAGTAGAACAGCGTTATGATCAGTTATTGATGAGTTAGCAACAAGTGCAGATGAGGGGAAACCGATTTTAGTATGATAATATGATCTGGGCGAGAACCTCTTTGATGTGTAGGAAAAGTATGCGCGGGGAGCACTGGGCAGGCCCGGCAGGGCACATACATTAAGGTATTCCTGAACAGACGCGTCAATACTTAGCGGCGTTAATATTCATATTTATATCTCCAGTTACAATTATATTATAAAGGATGTGAGTTCTGTAAAGTATCATTTAAAGTTAGTAAGGAAATCTCGACGGAGTATTGGAATCTCGATTCGCTTTTAAGTGATAAGAAAGAAAGAAAGAAAGAAAGAAAAACCATTTATTCTTGCGCAAAACACACATAACATAATTAAAAATAAAACAAAATAAAATAAAAGCTAAAAAAAAAATTAAAATGAAGCGAAGTCCTGTCCATGGTCCACAGACTTATTATTTTACTGAAATCATAGAATACTTAATATCTAATATTATCTGTGGACCATAGACAAGGAACACCCTACCTCATAGGTACTATTGATTAATTGCATGCATTTCATAGAATTGGTTAGGGAGTATATTATGATGGTCGCTTGCAGTCGTGCATGTTTAGTTCCTCTACAGATATAATAAGGCAAGTTCCCTGCATATATTTTATAGCTATATGCTATAAAAAACACGCTACGATTAGTAGCCTTACTCTATAAGTGGACCTACTGTCCACTTCCGCACATTAGCGCGTTTAAAAACACTCTCCAGCTGTCTGTAACATGTACCTGGGACCCGTCCTCGACAGTCGGTGGAACTTCGTACAGCACTTTCGACGGGGGCGGCGCTTGAGCGCCTCCTACCCAACCTTGAGGGACCAAACGCCTCCTGCCGGAGGTTATACGCCGGGGTCGTGCGGTCCATGGCCCTCTACGGCGCCCCTGTGTGGGCGTCGAACCTGCTGCGGGGGCCCGCTCCGGCGCTGCTTACATCACAGAGGGTCATGGCGATCCGAATAATCCGCGGATACCGCACGATCTCCGGGGCGGCGGCGAACCTCCTTGTTGGATAACCACCGTGGTATCTGGAGGCAAACGTGCTCGCGCGCGTATTCAGTCTGCGCGCGGAGGCACGTCGCCGGGGCGAAATTCCCCTACCGGGCCAGATTAGTGCGTGGCGGGAAGAGCTCCGGCACGATCTCATGGCGGAATGGCAGCAACGACTGTCGCAACCGAGGGCTGGGCTAGCTGCCATCGCAGCGGTAAGTCCCCTCTTTGAGGAGTGGCTTGAGAGACGCTACGGCGTCCTTACCTACCGCCTGACGCAGGTCCTCACCGGACATGGGAGCTTCGGGAGGTAACCTGTGTCTAATAGGGCGGGAGGAAAGGCCCGTGTACGGTTTCATAACCGTACATAGTAGCACACCGTATAGTCGACGCAGCAATATTGAATGCGCGTCACCCAATGCATAGCATATATAATTTAACGTATTACATTAATCGTAGTAGTAGTACTTTATCTACCAACCAACGTCAAGCAAAGAAATACGACAACGTTATTTGTAACTATTACCAAACTTAACTCGTCGAGTACCGGTTTTGCAGACACAATTATAGAACAATAGGTTGCGGTCACCGGTGACCGCTTGGTGTTTGACAGTTTAATATACGCAACTAGCAACTAGAACTTGTGATCTTTTCTGTGAGCTACTACACCTTCTACAACCACAAACTACAGTGTAAGGATCTAAGTGGATCTTACAGCCCGAGTGACATCACTGCGGGGACCGCCTTGAGGACACGGTGGAACACTCAGTTAGGGAATGCTCTGCGTGGGCTGAGCACCACCGTGCCCTCATCAGGGACGTGTTCGGCGATGGTGACCTCTCGCGTCCGGCCCTAGTGCTAGTGCATGATGCGGAGCGAGGGGGACTGGGGTGCCGTCTCCTCCTTTTGCGAAGCAGTTATGCTAGTTAAGGAGGAGGCGGGGCGCATGAGGCAGCGAAGCGCTGCATCACAACCCAGCCGTCGCGAAGGACCGTCCGGGCTCCGGGCGTCGGGGATCGCGAGACGATCTCCGGCCACCGTCAGCGCGGGCCGGCGGACGGCGAGCATGGGTAACTCGCCGCCCGACCAGAACCAGAGCCGAGCGTACGGCGCGTCGCGATCCGAGCGCGCCTCAAAGAGCCATCAGACCACCACGAATGATGATTCGGAGATACGGTGATACGGATACAAAAGGGCTGATACTGATACGGAGTCGCGGAGAACCTTACGGGTTACCGGGGCTCCGGATCGTGCAGGAGTAGGAACGGGGTGGTTTTTAGTCAGTAAGAGTCTGACACTCCTTCCCGCCTCACCCAGGCGGGAGCACTCATTCGATGATTTTCCCCCCTTAAAAAAAGCTGTAACATGTAAGTCCACTGGAACTGGAATATAACAAAAACTCAAACTGTAAGTTTATTTCCAGGATTTTCTTTTTTCATTGGTAGGTAGGTAGTTGTAGGCGTAATGAATAAACAAGAGATACCTAAATTGTATTATTTTATGCCCACATTTTCGAACAATAATAATAATAATAATAATAATATATATTTATTTGCCAGAAACACGGTAAATACAGAGATGTTGTATAAAAATTAAAAAAAAGACCAACATGTTTCGCCGTCATTGCGGCATGCAAATTACTAAAATTGTTCAATTAAATTGTTTACTAAAATTATTTTTCTTATACTGAAACTAACAAATTTTATATGGTTACTTCAATGGCTTAGCATACAATATTATTTGATGACTTAGTACACAACACACAAAATTACAAAATACATAGAACCAAATCAGGTAGATTTTTTTTTGTCTTATACATAACAATAGTAATATTTACTACTTATTATAAAATAGGAAATTAATATTTGCTAATGGACTAGTAATTATTTTATTATAACATTATATTAAAAATAATTGAAATTACTTGGACTTGGACTTGAACTCCCATACATTTGGCTTATTTAGACCGATATTTAGATGCCAAGTCAAGACTAAAGTTCTTACATGGATATTTGTGAAAAAATTCGTTAATGGAATAAAAACTTTCCTGTACCAACCATTTTTTTAGTTCATTACAAAATTTTATAAAGGGAAGTTGTGTTATATGCTTGGGTAGTGCGTTATATATTAAAGGGGTCATGTAAGCACAGCTCTTTCGAAAGATTTGCAGTTTGGGAACTGGCATTTCATATGCCAAATGTGTAACCTTTCTTTTGTTAGTGTTATCTTTCGGTTGAAAGAGCATAGGATAAGATCTTAAGAACTTAGCAGCTTCGTAAATGTATATGCACGGTACCGTTAAAAGGTTGTGTGACTTAAATATAGGTCTACAAGATTCCGACCACTCCATGTTAAAAATTGTCCGAATGCATTTTTTTTGAGCAATAAATATTCTCTCTATATCAGAGGAGTTTCCCCATACCACTATACCATAACGAATCACTGAGCAGATGTAGGCGTGATACACCATCAAGGAGGTTTGCCGAGACGTAACATCTTTTACTTTACAATTTAAGAACTTTGTTTAAAAAGGTTTCGATTTCCCAAAAATTCTATCATGATAAAATCGGGTAGGTACATTATGTGTAAAGCTGCTAGCTGGCTTTTTTTTAAGGGGTTAAGTCATCGAATGACTGCTCCCGCCTGGGTGAGGCGGCAGTGTCAAACTCTTACTGACTAAAAACCACTCCTTCCTTCTCCTGCACGTCAAGCCGGAGCCCAGGTTACCCGTTAGGTTCTCCGCGACCTGCTAGCTGGCTTGACTTCTATGATTGAGTACCTAAAGCGTTTTTACTTGCAGGTTGGAATTTCCTGACAACTCGGAGAAGAATCACTAAAGACAATCTCCCGGGGTTGTTCCAAACTCGTATGACCAACAAATTTACAAATAAGTAACACTAGTATGCGTTTGTATAATATAGTATCTAATTGTGTCACCCGTTCGTACATTGATCCTACCTACAGCTAAAGAAAGCCTATCTATACCTACCTGTATGCTAATAAGGTGCCTGTTATTTCATAAGACCTGTATGTATTACCTTAACATGCAAATAAAGAGTTTGAGTTTGAGTTAAATAAGTAGGTACCTACCTACATAAAGTACTTCATAAATTGATCAGAAATTTAGTAAATATACCTATGTAACCTATGTTATAATACTTTACAGGTCAGATAGTGAATGCACTATTGATGCCCGATTAAAATGTTTCGCAGACACAATATTATAATCCCCTACTGGCGCGGCGCGCGGCAATCGAGCCACACGTCATATATACATATACCGTGCCCACACAGCAGTGTGAGCAGTGTGAGCACTATGACCTGTACGTGGACACTGACCTATGATTCAGCTAGAAGCGTCTACCTCGCTGCCAAGGAGACGGGGATGTAAACAGTGAGTGCGGCAGTGCGGGGCAGGGCGCGGGGTGCGGGCGGGGTGCGGGCGGGCAGCCAGGCCGAGGCCAACGCGGTACGAGAAAACCCTTTCAACATCGCTGATCACCACAATCCTAATATCATCGCCGGAAAGAGAGACAAGGAGTGATCGAGGGGTGCTTACTAACTTGAGCGCAGACACGAGGTTCCGGTGGCAGGTGATACACTGTGACCAGTAGCTGAAGTCTACTGATTCGGCACTTATAGCACGGCCACGGTCGACTCTTGGAATCAACGTTGGGCCTGTGACGTTCTATATTTTTCAGTATAATGTCGAGCAGAAACGTGTTCCTCTCCCAGAAAGGATTTTCCTGAACACAAATCTGTCTCTTGTTGTTGGTAGAGTAGCGTGCGCGTGTACGCTCGTCACAGTTCAGCCCATTGGGCTCTAACTGGTGTGCGTAGGGCGTGGGTGGTGCGTGGCGTGCGGCCCGCGGCGGTGGCCGAGTAGCACTGGTGTGTGCTGCGTGCTGGCCGGCGCCCTGCGCCCCCGCCCCGCGCCCCGCGGCCCCTCGCGCCCGTCTCGCCGACATCTCAATGAAGTGACTCACTATTACAGCCCGGTGCACCGGTTTGACCTGTGACTGCGTCTTCGTGTCTGTGTGTAAGCTGCGAGCTAGGTCCTTAGTGCATACACTAGTACTAGTATGGACCAGAACTAGTGTAAGTACTAGGTACGTAACTTCTTAAGTAGCGAAAGAGTGCAGGACTAGGTTACGTTCTAACCAAGCGCTTATACCAAATATTTATTATGTTACAAGGGCACAGTACGTACCTCTAATACCTACCCACATAGTTAAGGGTGTAGTTGGGACGAGTATACTTTTTATTATACGACTTACATTCTTTAAAGTCCCCTACCAAGAGCAACCATTGACGTATATAATATTCTCATTCAGTTTGAAAGTGTCCCGGGGAAGGACGAGATATGTATAGTTCCAAGTTAGGTTTATTTATTGCAACAGCTGGGCGCGGTGGTTGGGCAACTGGCTGCCGCGCAACGTATCGCGGGTTCGACTCCCGCACGGAACAACTCTTTGTGTGATCCACAGATTGTTGTTCCGAGTGTGGGTGTCATGTGTATGTGAACTTGTATGTTAGTAAACGCACCCACGACACAGGAGGCAATCCTAGTGAGGGGCAACGTTTTTTAAAAACAAAGGAAAAAGAAGACACTAAATTGAATACAGTGCTAACTTTGTCTTTAACGACTACAAAGACTAACAGTTTCTACTAAGTTTTATTTAACTCGCAATGTGTGTGTGTGTGTGTGTGTGTGTGTGTGTGTGTGTGTGTGTGTGTGTGTGTGTGTGTGTGTGTGTGCGGGTGTGTGTGTGCGGGTGCGAGTGTGTGTGTGATTGACACAGACAACCTATTGAGGTGATATACTACACGTTTAGATTGCATGACCCATGACCATAAATGTTTAACTGCATAATAACTTGCTCTATTTGAATTAGCTCTCAATGTTCCACACATTTTACACTAATAGTAGGTACCTATTTAGATAAGTATATTTAGAATAGGTAACTATCGTGAGACATACTAAATTAAGTAAAAACGCGCGTTACTCACGTGAATATACTGAGAAAAGTTCTACTAGTTTCGAACCACAGAGTAGTAGTACAGCTTTTCTCAGTATATTCACGTGAGCAACTCGTGTTTTTACTTCATTAAGTATACTCAGTTTAGATTTTTTGTTTGTGTTTGTTTGAATTGAATCTGTTCCGAAACTACCGGACCGATATGAAGAATTAAAGTTTCTAGTTCATTTAGTTAATTATTTAATTATTTCACCGTTGAAATCCTACATTATCGATGATGAACATGATGAAAATTTCAATGTTGTAACAGTTTTTAAGGACTAATAATAGTGCTTACGTCGGGCGTTCACTGTATTCTCGGTATGGGCATGAAAGAAAAGTCCCTTAGAACCTCAATACACTTATTAGATCGCCAAGTCCGGAATGTACGGAAAATGATCAATTTCCTCGAAGCCGCAGTTTCGTACACCAGCCTTCGCCACACGGGCCGTGTGAACCGGCTTGTTGTCATGAAGCAACAATACCCCCGCAGTCAATTTGCCTCGCCGTTTTATTTAACTGCTTCTTTTAAATTGCGTAAAATATATTTGCGTATGATGCTGCCTTAATGCTTTCACCCCTTTTTATATATTCTATCAAATGAATACGTTTAGAATCCCAGAAGACGGCAGCCATTAGGTATTTGTCAACTATCTCCACTTGATAAAAAATCACGTCAATTTCTAACAAAACAAACAGACACACAATATTTTGTGCGTGTCTGTTTGTTTACACTTAATGTTATTACCTCTACATTAAGTAGGTACACATTTGTATACTGAATACTAATATTACTGACTACTGAATGTATTTGACAAAAATTCGGTTCAACGATTTTGAGACACTGGCACTGGAAAAGATTTAAGGTTGTTCTATCCCGGAAATCCCACAGGACAGGAACTGCGTTAAACATCGGGGTCTAACTTTGACAATCGGAAAATGACGCCTGAGAGTTGTCAACCGCTGCGCTGTACCTATATGATTGGAATTCAAATGGAGTTTTAATCACTGAAACCTCACGGGAATGGATACTATACTATGCGGGTAAAATATCTGTAAACACCAAAATGAACAACATTTCATAATAAATACAAGTTGTAGTTTTGAAACCGTGACATTTCTCGGGGGCATGTCACAGAAGTCATAAAGTTTCAATGTAAGAGAAAGTTTCGGGCCAATAGTTAAAAATACGGCTATAATAAATCGTTTAAGTTGGACAGAGTTTTATGGAATTAGGTATAATATCAATTACGTGTTTGAGTTTGTGTGTGTTAAGTCGCGTTATAAAGCTAGTTACAAGACAGCGGCGTGTAGTTCGCACTTACGGATTTCCGTAATTTACAGAAAATTTAAAAATATTTACCTACAATCTTTTTATTGAGTCGGACTCAGAATCGATAGCCGAGTTACCTCCTAGAAAATGACGCGACATTAAAACAACACCTTGTATAACTGAATCGATGCTGATGAGATTTGTACCATAGCATTGGACTTAGCCTTGGAAAAGACTAATTAAAATATCCAAAATTTGTCAGAAGTCATTATTATACGCAGGCGAACTCGCGGGGAACAGCTAGTACGTAATAATGCTGAAGAGTTTGTTAGTTTGTTTGTGTATGCGCGCTAATCTCCCGAATTGCTGGTTTGTTGTGAAACAATATTATTAAATATTGTTGTGTTGTATAGTCTACTTATTGAGAAAGGCTATACATATATAACATTACGCTGTGATTTATAGGAGTCAACCAGCGGATGAAACCAGGGCAGCTAGTACATTGATATATTGTAATAATGAACACAGCGCAGGACGCGCTCGTCGCTCGGGTTCCGCGACCGTGCTAAGTATTTCCAATGGCATAGTAACGCATCATTATTTAAATAGGTGACCCACATACATACCGGTAACTAGGTAACTACAAGCGCTCCGTAACTCAAGCCGGCCCCGCGACTGGCGGGACCGGTCGCGTTGTTAGCGGCGCGGCCGCGCGGTGCCGCGCGCTGCCCACACATAATACTCTCCTCTTGCATGGCACATAAAAAGTAAAAACATTACTGATGTATGCAAGTACTACATCATATATACGCAAGTACTACTGGTACTGCAACTTGCAAGCCGCCTGGGAGTCTTTACTATACGTGAAATTGAATTGTCTTTCTCTCCATCCTTCTCCATTATTCACCCCTTGCATCAAATCAAATACCTAATTTATTTCGACAATTTTGAAAGTCTATAACAATAAATGAAAACTTCCAAAATAAATAAGTTGTAGGAAAATCTATTAAACTAATATGATTCTATACTATTATCTGCCTGTCTTCCTTCTTTCTTTTTTCACGCCTATGCCTAAACCACGGAACCGATGTGGACGAAACATGGCACAGATATAGGTTGAAACCCTAAAAAGGACGTAGGATATCATTTATCAAAAAATGTCGGGAGAACTATGTTATTAAAACCCCGGGATGATCCATTTACTAAACTACTGAAATTCACTATTCAGTACAGTACACCGCGGCGCCGGTACAGTGAGGCCGGAGAAAGGACGACAGATAGTTCTTTTCTTTTTTTTTCTTTTTGAAAAAAAAACGTTGCCTCACAATAGGATTTTCCGTGCGGGAATCGAACCCGCGACACTTTGCACGGCAGCCGGTTGCCCAGCCACCGTACCAACCGTGCAGTCGATAGTTGCCGCATACTTCTTTCGTCAGGATACGCAATAATACTACTACTATACTACTGTATGCGTTAGAAACCTGAGACTATTTATCTTTTAATTCAGTCAACAACAGATTTTGGTGACATTTGTTACAACGATTTCTTGAGACCAGAGAAAGGACATAAAATATATATTTTATCCCGGAATCCAATGGGGACGGAAACAGTGTGCTAAACTACTGGGACTATCTTTTAAACTGTCAAACACCAAGCGGTCAACGGTGACCGCAACCAATTGTTCTATAATTCTGTCTACAAAACCGGTACTCGACGAGTTAAACCACTGCTGATCCTACTTGGATGGAATTCGGTACCTACAACAATATTTATAGACGCCGACAAAGAACCTAGTATTCCTGTAGTCTCATAGAATACATACTTAATTTTTTACATAGATGTAAAAAAATAGTCAGTGTAGTGGTTCAGTCTGTTACGATCGCGCCATAAAGAAAACTTAGTGAAGTATATAATACGTCTCCTAGGAAGTGAATTCATTCTGATTTTTGATGCAGGGACGCACACGTGGAAGGAGTCGCAGCAAAAGCTAAGTGATCTTATTCATATTATAAGTACGACACATTGTGTGTACGTTACTCAATCGCGTCAATATGGCTGAAGGGATTGGGATGAAATTTGGGACAGGAGTAGATTATGATGTGGAATAACACTTTGGCTAGTTTTCATCTTACGGGAACGCGGGTGAAGCAGCCGGCAGAAGTTAGTTATAAATATAATTGTATCGAATTATCGGATGTATGTATGCAACGGCCCGCGAGTCATGGAAGGGACCACCGACCAGTAGGTTACCAACGCAAAGCTCTACTATGCACGGGTAGTGCAGTAGCTGGGCAACCGCTGTGCAGTGCAGTGGCTGCCGCGCAACGTGTAGCGGGTTCGATTCCCGCACGG